CAGGATGATCTTGGAGCAGCTCCCAAGCGTCCTTATAGCTTTCATGGTCAAGTTCCCAATTGAAATGATCTGTAAGATCCCGTTTAACGGCCAACACGCAGTCATATGGACTCTGTATAAAGACTTTCAATCCAGCACCAGCTGCATTAGGATGGACTTGCTGGCCTCGTTTAGGAGTAGATGCCGATGCATTATCCACACTCGCTGATGAGACAGAGCGAAGTGTTTTCCCGCTGTCTCCGATGCCTGGGACATTGATGATACTTGCACCAGAACTGAGTATCCTGGCTGCGCTTACACCAGCATCCCATATCCCTCCACTCAGTGCTTCCAGCGCACTCTTTTGTGCCTGGGTCATGCTTTCGGGATGAGGAACGTACATCGTACTTAAATGGTAATCAGCAGCAGACAATGTCTCGAACCTACTGACAGTTAATGCATCCACTTCAATCTCATCGGAGGTTGCAGCATCAATGAGCTTAAGTTCCGGAGATAGTCCGTTATGCCGTCTGTGCATTCCCCGTCTTGGAGTGGTTTCATCGGTGGGAGTGATGGGGTTGTCGTCATCGTCGCGAGTTCGATAAGCAAGTACAAGAAGCAAAGAAGGGGTATAAAGCGATATGCCAGAAACAATACAATCCTCAAATCGAAGGCTAAAGTTGGTCAGCAAAGATAATGGCCAAGTTATGATAAGGGTTCTCCTTACTGATGAATAATCTCAGCACTTCCTACCGATCTCTCACCAACATGTTTGCCAACACCAGTGCCGCCAGGATCTACATGTACGATCCAGGCCGCATCTCCCCATCCGATTACCAGTTTTTCAATTTTCCTCTTTTTGGTCCCGTTATGGTGTTTCGCCGATCGCTTATGCGGAAGAGTGGAGTTTTCTTTCTCTCTGGCCAAACTAGATCCATTCATACTGATGATCGAGTCCTTGTCTGACTCCAGGCTTTCGTCGTCCACCCATTCGGCTCGGGCTTTCCACACAATAGCCATCTCTTCCCAAATACGGCGGTTTGGTTTGTCTATGAACCCTATTCTTTTCCATGCGGACTCGGCATCTGCACTATCAAGTTTGATATTCGTCCGCATAATTCGAATCCCCTGCTCATTAGCCCAAACCACATATTCCCCAGACAAGGACCATTTGATCATGCTGATAGTACCCTCTCCCGAATGAAGTATGGTATCTCTTCCAGAGTGTCCGCCTAGGCCAATAGCACCCAACCATCCTTGCGCAGCCGCAGAAGCATGATTTGTATTCGCATTTGTACGGACTCCAGCTTGGACTCCAGTGGTAAGTATGAGCTCCCCAGCTAACCCACCGGAAAGGTACGCTCGATCAGACTTGTACTCTGGAGATAAGGCTACAGCTTGGACCGGCCGGGAGAAGTTCCGCAGAGTGATGTCTTTAGGATCCACCAGTGATGAAACACAAACATTGCCATCTATTGAAGAAGTCGCGATGTGTATTTGGTTGGATGGGATGACTGGCACCTGTGGTTGACGGGGGCTACGATGCGTGGAGGTATGACCAGCAGCTGTAGGCATATGTTTAGGGATTTCGGGCTTGTCCACCGGTCTTATGACTGCATCTCGGTTGTTTGGTAGCGGCGGAAGAAGCGGAGAGACCGACACAGCAGTAACAGATGCGGAATGAGCGTTATAGAGGCGGAGCGATTGAAACGATGGTATCGACAAGACATGCTATTCGAGCTTTAGCTTAATGCTCGAAAGCCGAGTGGAGATATATATCACTCACAATATTTCCGTTGTGCGTTCCAATTATCTAGCAAAATTTCAGCTTATAATCTCATACGAAAGCTCCTTGTAGGGAGCTTAAACAATAATACGCCATACCATTTTGTCTCCAGCCACCATAAACGAGCTCGTAGCATCCCCATTGCGGTATACTGGACCCAGATTCCCCGTCAAGCGCGAATATTTCAACTTTGGCTCGTCGTCAATATCATCTTCTTCCTCCTCTCCATCAGAGTCATGTTCCCCGCTGACTGTTGAATCCCCTCCATTGCTGGCGTCTCTCCGATGCAAGGTCTCGTCGCGGACGGCGGCCGTGATTGACTCGTTTTCGTCCGACTCCGCAGCCATGCTGAATGCATGAGCTGCGGTATGCGTAGTGGCCACCTGAAGAGCTTGGAGGGATGGTATAGGAACCCTGGTGTTGTTTAGTGAAGCTTGAGGTCAAGTGAGGTGCTGTCCGCGGCATCAGTGATGTCGACGCCAAGACCGGACCCAAGCGCCCTAAACTCCACCATGCCGCCTACTTCTATCCTTAAAACACTCGGTTTCCCTCTCTGAACACAATGTTCCTCGAATTGTCTTTTCGGCAATGAATCCTCTCCGACAGAATGCCATAACTTGCCTATTTCGAAGCTGTCAACTCGGCACTCAAGCTTCAACTATCCGTAGTCAATCCCGCCCCCCAGCATTCCAGCAGCAGCGGAAGTACCTGACGCGACCGTTTTCTTCCGCGAGATCAGGACAGAAAAAGGTCGACTTCCAGCAGAACGAGGAGCAGAAAGGAAAAGAAGAGGTAGAATCAAATTTCAAAAAGGGACCACCGCAAATTTCGGAAAGAAAACTCTCGCGCACAGCTACGAAACCGACTTCTCTTCGGAGAGTTGCGGCGGAAGCGCAGAGATCAAGAGGTTTAATTAAAGGGAAAGGCAGCAAACGATTTGTAGACCCAGATGTGGATACGAAGGTATGGCTCTGGGTTTGAAAGCATTTGTGAAGAGCAACACTAACCACCCGCAACCAGACAGTGACAGCGTACTGTGCTGCCGAACAGTATAAGATTCCCGCAGCCGCACGACTGATTCGAGCGCAAGGCTATGAACTCGATCCCTACCAGACCGGGCTCTATCCACAGGTCATCCATGTGCAGACTACCGAACGCCCGTCCGAAGTCAGAAACCTTAAAGGGAGAGGAGACATCTTCATCTTTCCTTCCGGCACAGTTGTTACATGGAACGTACGAGAGAGTGAAGCCCTGAACCTCATAAACCGGATACTTCCAGAATGCGCTGAAGGTTCCCACCTGGAGTCGATAGAGACGGAAGATCTGGAATACCTAGAGGACCCCTCAAGAGAAAGCAGCGAAGTGGTCGGCGACACCATCGTCCTAGGCACAAAAGTCGAACCGGCTCAGAATCTCGACTCCCATCCCCACTCCCGAGAATCCAACCAAAATCGCTCTTCATCCCTCATCATCGAAGACAACACCGAGCAACGCCACGAGGTCGACACCGTCCTCGCCAAAATTGCTTTCTCCTCCGGGCTGGCTCGCTCCACCAAACTCGCCATCTTAGAGAGTCTCCTGTCTGCATACCAACACTCCACCCGAAGCATCCCCACCATGCTGGCAAAAGGGAAATCCATGCCCTTTGGCAAATCCCTCCCGGTAACCCGGTCTTTTATTCTGCGGAAAACTGGTGAACTGCTCTCCATCCGCGCCCAACTGAACCTCTACTCCGAACTCACCGATTCTCTCCCAGATATATTCTGGGACTCTCGTCACGAGCTCGGATTAGGGGAGTACTACGACCAAGTCGGTCGGGCGCTGGACGTTGGGGTGAGGATCAAAGTCTTGAACGAGAAGATCGGTTTTGCGCAGGAAATTGCGAGTGTACTGCGAGAGAGTCTGAGCGAGAAGCATGGATTGAGGCTCGAGTGGGCAATCATTGCGCTCATTGCAGTAGAGGTCGTGTTGGAGTTTTACAGGCATTGGAAGGAGGTGCAGGAGAGGGATGATCCTGGAAGTACGGAGACGTTGCTAAGGAGGTATTTAGAAAAGTTAGAGAAGGAGGGTGCATAGATGAAGTAAGATTTTAGAATTAGAGATACCCTGCTTATTAAATAGAATAAAATAGAATTCCGCTCTTGATTTTGCTCCTGTGTCCTGTTAGTGTGTAAGTCTTCGTTAAGGCCGGTATACGCCTAATAAATGCTCTCTCTTCTAGGGTATGAGGATATTTGAATTAGACTCACACTCGGCGCATGAAGGGGCATTTTGAAGGTGCGGCAGATCGTGCTTGGATGTGTTATATAGTTCTACAGCCTCTCACTAGCTGATTGACACATCGCATTTAATTGCTTGAGTAGCTAGTGAAACTAGTTAGTACTAGTACGAAACTGAAATTGTAAAAAGAATACTTGCAAAGTCCCTCTTTTTCTAGGTTATTGTTATATACCATAGTTCACAAGGCATTGTCTAGAAGTATTCTTACTGCGTCTCCGATACTGAACCCCTTTTCATATTTCTCACTCCGGAAGCAAAAGCAGACCATACATGCTTTGCTTATAACTACCTATATTTGAGCATTCTATTTAATCAAAACCACGAAAGAGAGGTGAATGGCCAGAAAAGGGTGTTAGCAAAACCGTCGATTCACGTGATAGTGAAGCCACGTGCAAAAAGGTGGGCCTGACCGGGAGTTGAACCCGGGATCTCCTGCATTCATGTATTAGATTACCCGAAACAGACATCTTACGACTAGACCATCAGGCCGTGACTTGTTTGATGAAAGAAATGCTCAATTAAGTTACTGATATAGGCGGGAGAAGAGAAAACGTGGTGATTCGGATGATATTTTGGACATCGAGCATCGTGAGTGGCTTTTACATGTAAACCCGTTGCTGACAATATGAAATAAAGCATGAAATGTCGGGACACACGATATAAAGGTCTATTTTTGAGTTAGCGGGCAGTTATTTCTTGTGTGTGCGGGTATGTCAACGGTACACTGATTGAGGTTTCTGAAGTATAATTCATCTAAAACACATCTTCTTGACAGTTCCCTTACTTTATTAATGACATTAGGCTGAATATTTTAAGGTTACGTATGTGTATCGCTCGACAGAATCCTGAATCGCACAATAAATGGAAAGTCATATCCCAAAATCCGTTGACACCAATGCCATTTCCAACTCAACAAACCTATCAACAAGAGAGACCTAAAAAATGAAACTACTGCGGACTTGACCGAGATTCGAATTCAGGACCTCCTGCATTCACGTATAGGATACCCCAACTGGTGCTGGTTAGGGTTGCTCGAGAAGATTGGAAATTACTTACACAGGAATTGTACCACTAGACCATCAAGTCGCATTTCTGTTCAATAGAAGGTGTCTGGGAAACAGTGCGTTGATACGTGGGAAGAGCGAACGGTGAGATGGAAAAGGGAGTGAGGGCGGTAAGAATCTTTGCGTGGGGATAGTTGTGGAAACTTACCTTATGACACGCGGAGTAAGAGATGGTTGGAATGGGGGTTTTGAAAGAGGCAAATATGGTTTAAATGAAAGGGGGGAAAGGGAGTTGAGGTTTATTATCTTGTATCATTTGATTAAGGGGTTCACTCAAGCATAGGGGGCTCTCTTATTGAGACATCACCACTTATATCCCCCAATACTTCTCCTTCATTCACGTACACATATTCTATGTCTCAATACATTTGAAATTATTCCCAGCTTCATATCTAATTCCGAGGGCCTTATGTTAGCTTTGCAGCCCCGTTATCCAATAAAGCAGAGAGAATGAAAAATTATTTCGGGATTGCCTATGACTTTATTTCATCCCCCACACTTAAAGCTTACATTATACTAACAGCTACGGAGCGTGTCTCAAGGCTCACTGAACTTCTGACTCCATCGAATTCCCAAATGTTGCCGATCTGCTCAAAGAGTTCAAGGCTGTTGACTCGGAGATCACCGGGTTCAGATTTGTTAATTACACCACCCTTACCACCTGGGGAAATACAGCTGATAAAGCTACGAGAGGCTTATAAGAGCCCCTGAGAAGGATATAGCAAAGGCAAAACATATTGGGACCGGATTTTGCACCGAGAGGATACTAGTTAATCCATTTTACAAAACAACAGAAAATCGCCATAGACCGCAAGTCTACAGTCCGAACAGCACACAGAACGAGCGGCGACCAAGATAGCCGCTGGGTCTGGGTCTATGGCCCGTATATGCGCATTCACATGGGGCCCCTCAGTACGAAATCAAAACTGTTGTATTCAGCAGCCATGTGACCGATCATAACTTATGGTGCATAAGTTTAAGCTGTTCAGGGCACCAGTAACTGCAAACCACCCGGTCACTAAGTGACTCCAGAAGAATAACGAAAAGATTTGGATAGCGGCCAAGTGAATCGGTGAAGGCCGTTGAAAGGAACGTCCTCTCTGCTAGAATGAAACTCCATCACTAGAATTGACCAACTACACTCTTAGGCCCGTGAAGTAGTTGAAAATTAAGGTTGTAGAAAGAGCTGGTGAAACTCTCACAATAGCTATATTAGAATGATATAAGGTGAAGAAAGGGCAAAGGGTTTGAACTCTAAAAGAGACACTCCTTTAGAGTTGGGTTACTTTGCTTTAAGCATTGATATCGCATCTTCGTAGCCCCGACTGGTAACTCGATAGCACGTAAATTGCATTATTTTTGGTAGACTTCCCAGTCGAGTAGAGAGAAAAAAAGGACTTTAAAGAAAGGGGTGCTCATTTAGTTGAATAGTTCCTAGTAAAAGAATACTAGATAAATCTAAAAGAGAAAGAAGTAATTAAAGTAAGGTATAGTATAACAAGAGCCGTGAAAAAGAAAGGCAGAGAGGAGAAAAAAAATATAGAAGGAAACAGCTTATCCTCTTCGACTTAAAAGATGCATATTGCTCCTACATACTTGAACATTGTTACCTTAACTAAAACCTATAGGAGAGTGATGCTAGTTGTTTCTTTTTACCTCTATTCATTGTAAATCATCTCGGTGTGCTCTTTACCTCTACCGTATGGCAAGGACAACTTAGAGTATGCTGAAGTCGGTATGTCGGTATATTCTAGTCATCTGTTAGGCTCGCGTCTTAATAATGGTATAAGAGCATTAGCTTGAATTTTAAGCGCTTATGAATAACAGATCAATGAGGTGCCTCTTTAATGATTAACTGTTGGTTGTGAGCCTTTTATGACATATAATACAAGATACATCTGCAGATTTAATTGAGCAGTCTTTGCGACAAGCAAAACATAGCAGCAATGTGACAATCTAGACAACAGGTCAGCAAGAACGCCGATGTGATAAGCATGGACACACGCTAGGCCATTCTATCATACAACATGGGAAAGCAATAAGTGAGACATCACAATAAGCACCAAACAAACAAGACATCACAAAGAGATCCAAAAACAACATGTTTACAACCAAAAAACACAAAATCACATTGGATAAATCAGGATGGCGACACTATCTACCACTAACCGTATTCGTTGGACTCGGCAAGCCATACCCAGATCCCGCACTCCCATCCGTCAGACTCCTAACCATTATCGGCTTGATACTCAACGGCGGATTCGGACTCATCGGGTCGCGCTGGCTCGAGCTCTGCGACGAGCTGCCTGACGAAAGACCCGCGCTTCCGCTACCGTGGCTCCCGTTTCTGTGACCATTCATTAACATTATGTTATGAAATGGGTTGGTAAGGACAGGTACAGTAGGAGAGACAGGTTCGTCTTCAAAGCCATCAGTAAATCCAGAGACATTGGATAACATGGACGATGAGCGACCGCGGCCGTTCCGGAGGGATCCAGGCGTACTACCGACTGTAGCCGTGTAGGAAGGATACGTGAAGCCGGTGAAAGCGACGGACTGCGGAGTAATTCCGTTGGTTCCAGGAAGGGGTCCTTCAGGGGTCGCAGAACCGAGTTGTTGCTGTTGGGATTGTTGAAGAATCAGATTTTCCAAGTGCCGGATTGTCTGGTTGATCTGAGCGGTCGCAATGATCTGGTCATTGGTCCGGTGTGAGAAGTTGTCAATGTTACTGAGGTACTGATTCTCAATATTTTTCCGTTCTTGCAAGGTCATGAGCCGTTCCTGCTGCTTTCTCGACTTGGCAGAGAGGTCTTCCTGGTTGGCGGTAGTGAGCTTGTTGTGCTGCTCGTTAATCTTGCTCTGGCGCTGCTGGAGTTTCTCCCTTTTCTGGATCACCGAAGTGATATCGGACTCGATGCTGGAGACTTCACGATCCGTCTCTGCTTTAGCATTTTCAAGCTCCTCCATAGCACCCTTTTTGCAGTCCCGTTCTTTTTGCCATTCCTGTCTAACAGTGGCAGCTTCCTGGGCGTCCTCCTCCGGAACGTCTCCGAGCAGATCGACCTGGATTTCAAAGTCTGCAGCAGCTTCCTCGGCCTGCCGAATGCTTTGGTTGAACTGTAGGGCTCGCTGGCGTTGGCGTTCGTCGTTTCCTCCGGCATTTGCAAGGCGATTGGTTAGCGTATCCAACTCTCTCTTAACAGCAGCAAGGGCAGCCTTATGATCCTTTCGGTTCCGCTTAAGGCGATTACGAGAGTCCTGAAGCTTCTGATCGGCGGCAGCAATGGAGTTCTTCAGCGTCGTGGATGGCGAGGAAGGCCGGAGCGTCTGGTGGGCAGGCGGAGAAGCAACCGAAGCTTGCTCTGCACGTGGTCCAGTCGAGGTAATAAGGCTTGCCGAATAGAAGGGTTCGTGATCAAAAGTTCGAACAAACTCGCAAAAGTAGTTTGAAAGAGCCGTGAGACCGAAAATCTCTCCAACCCACATGCCCGTTCCGTCCTCCCCCATATGACCAACCGACGTACTCTGGCGAATCCTAGCAGAGCTCCAATCTGCTCCGTTAACACGGATATAGAAAGGCTTCGATTTGTCGATTCCGGAGCTGGATGTTGTTCCGTCCGTCTCGTCACCAAGCCGACCAAAATTTTCCCCATTGCACATACTGACCCGAAAAGCAATGTCAGTAGGCCCAATCTCCGATATCCAAACACGGTCCTCCTCCAGCCTCCAAACAGCATTTCCAATATGATTTGTATCTTTTGCATTAGCCTCCGTAGCATCATTAGCTGCCCGGCCACTTTCCATCTCTTTTAAAACTGTAACTTTTGTACTAGCAAGAGCAGCCCAAAATGGCTGCTGACTCCGAACATGCGTTGCCTGCTTTTTCTTCTTCCTCGTATTTAATGCTTTATCTTTGTTCGCCGGCGAAGGCCCTGGTGGGCGGCCATCGGTACTCGAACTACTCGGTAAATCCGCGTTCGTGTCGACGCTGGTCGAACTAGAGCGGGGAAGTGGATGCACGGCAGCTTCGGGGTCCGTTTTCTTGCCGGTTGGCATTGAGCGAGATGCCTCTCGCCTAGAAAGAGAACGTCGAATAATGCGAACAACACCCTGTGCTACAATATGAACTCCCAGCACGGTTCGGGTCCAACCATGTGGGGTTTGAAAATCTTCAGAATAAATAGGAGTACTTGGTGGACTCGTTAAAAAATCAAGGCCTCCCCGGGAGAGCCCCGTCCAAAGAAAGTGAACAATGTGTTGCCGGAGAGGCCTGAAGCGGAAGAGATGAGTGAAAAGAATGATGGTGAAACATATGAATATGCTGTTTGTGGTCCCATTCTTTCCCGCTGCGGCTCCTCCAAGAGCTATTGCAATGACGGCCTGCGCCAGGTCCAAGAAAAAGTTTTGTACAGGGACCCAAAGCACCAACCAAAGCACAAGTATGAAGGCGTCGGCGAATATAATGGTAAAAAGGGAGGGTGTACCGCCGGAGCCTTGGAATATATCGGTAAAAGATGGGAAGGCGGAAAGAGCGTTGAGGGAGGCTCCGGTTTGGGGTGGTACAAAGGTGAGAGTCGCGAATAGGAACTGTACGATGGTGAGCACCGTGGGAGGGAGCTGAAGAAGGATGATGAGGATGGCGAGAACGTCCCGCAGAGGACATGACGAGAGAATGGTGGAGGCTACAGTTAGCATACTGCTGCCCTTGTAGGCTGTGGCGGTCCTGATACCGCTGGCATCGGCTCTACGGGGGGTGCCTGAGAGGGTATGGTCGAAGGAACCATTGGTGTTGTCCAACCGGCACCCTTCGGAGCTGTCGAGAGGGACTTCGGATGAAAAGTAACTCCTCTCCTCCAACGACCTCCCAGACGACTGGCCGGCTGGATTTCCTTGCGCCAATAATCCATGAGTTGAATCGATTGGCGAGGCCGGCTGCGTCATATGCTGGTTCACATCCTGTGAGAGCGGCGGTGTTGGCGGTTGGGCGGTTCCGTTGACATTGCCATTGAGGGCCAAGTTTGA